TGCCCAGGAAGGAGCCTGAATAGATGCCCAGAACTGCTGGCTTCACAGCTGTGGAGGGCATGTTCCAGGAGACCCTAAAACCAGGGCCAGAAACAGCTCCCTGAAGATATTGTGGCACTGGCCACGAAGACTGAGTCCACGTGACCCCAGCCATATCCGGGGGGCACCAGCACGGGCAAATGGCCTGTGGTGAGAAGGGCCACAAACAAGCCTGGCCACACCCCAGGACAGCAGCCTGGCCCCTGCTTCCTCGGACATCAGGCCCTGGACCCAGCCTGCCTCCACGGCGTGATGACGGAGCCGGGGCTGGGTGCAACCCAGCCCCACCAGCAAGGGCATAACCATGACCAGGCCGCACTTCAGCGTCCCTTGGGAGGGGCCTCAGGCCCGTGGCAGGCAGGGGTCGAGGCCAGCTCAGTGGCTGTAACCGAGAGCCTGCGGGAGCCCGGGGCAGGCTGGGCTGGACCGCGTGGGAGACCCAGGGAGGGGGCGGGCAGGAGAAGCGGGGTGCAGGGGACTCGGGTGCCCTGGCAGATGATGGGACCTAAAGCAGTCATGCATGAGAGTGGGAGCCCCTGGAGGCCCCCCCATGATTTTCCCTCCCATGATTCTCTTAATCCGCGCACGTCACTTTTGGGGTGTTCGCACACAGATGATGGAGCGCAGGTGCAGGGCGTGTTAATAGAGAGACTTGGAAGTCGCTGATCCGACAGCTTGCGTTTATTTATTTAATTCTGGGGCAGACATGTGCTTGTGGTTGTGATTTTTTATTGTCTATGTCTAGTACACTCATATTTCCTGGTAGTAAAATGGCTTCTGGCTCTTACGAGGAAGTTAACGACCCCACTATTTCATGCTGGCTCTCGGGGCTCTGCCTTTAACAAGGGAGCCAGTTTCCCCCCCACCACCAGAGCTGTCACAGGGATACTGGGCTCCAGAGGGCTGGTGACACCCCAGAGCTCAGAGCCAGGGGACAGTTCTGTCCTGCGAGCTGCCTCCTGGCGCCACACAGACCTGTCCTGGCCCCCAACTCTCCATCCGAACCCTGGACGATCCTTCCCTTTGTGTGTTTGTGACTGGTCCCCCCCTCCCGCCTGGCCCCTCGTGGGGGTTGCTCGGTGGAGCGGGGGGTGTGTACTAACCTGTGTCTGCTGTCTCCCTCTGACCCCCTCCGCCCCCAACCCGGTAGCCATGTACTCCGTGCGGAACCTGAGCCGACCCGGCCTCACGCAGTACGAGCTGGACAGTAAGTCTGCACAGTGGCCCCATGGGGTGCACGCCCACCCCAGGGATGGGGAGAGGGGCCTGTGAGGATGCTGGCTGCTGGCTTTGAAGTGCCCACCTCAGGCCACCTCAGTGGGCCTCCCCAAGACACATGGAAAAGTGTGGGTTCCCAGGGAAGTTGTCCCCAACCTGACGCCCAAATTCCGAAGGACCCCGGTGAACCCCGGTGGAGAGAGGAGGAGCGACACCCTCTTGGCTGATGGCAGGTGGTCAGGCAGCAGACGCTCCCGGAGGACCTTCCCTCTGCCCCGAGACCGCAGGCTTAGGAGAAACAGCCCCCAGCGGTTCTTCCTCCCTCACCGCCCCGACAGGCTGCAGGACCTGGGGGCGGGGTGCAGAGAGAGGGCAAGGAGGGCGCCAGCACCCCCAGTGTCCCACCAGGGGGTCCACGCCCATGTGAGGGCACCTGCCCTCCCCCCAGCTTGTTGTGAGCCAGCACCCCAAACTTGGCAAAAACAAGATTCCTTAGCCCAGAATTCGCATTTTCCAAGCCTTTCCTGTTAGGACTGAACAGCACATGCTCCCTGCCCCGCATGTTTAAGAGCTGGCTAATGGCCAGGGGCGCGGAGCTGGGCATGTTAAGCACCCCCTCTCAGGGTGGGGAAGGGCAGCCTGTTGCCTATGGCCCCGTGTGCCCAGGACAGCCGGCTCACGCCAACCACCCCAGCAGCGCCCCCTTCAGCTGCAGAGTGTCCAGCATGGTGACCGCTCCCCAGGAAGCCAACCTGAGGCGTCCTGTGTCCAGGCTCCCAGGGAGGAAGTGGAGCGCCCCTCACCACCCTGCCTCTTACCTGTTCCTTCACTAGAATTGCAGGACTGCATCACCCCTCCCCTACAGCCTGCACCCTCCCTGCCAGCCTGCCCCCTGCAGGGACAGAGACCTCTGACTGTTTCTCCCCACGCGGCTCTTCCCCACAGACCTGAACAAGCACCGGCGATACGAGATCCGGATGAGCGTGTACAACACCGTGGGCGAGGGGCCCTCCAGCGCCCCCCAAGAGGTCTTTGTCGGAGAGGCAGGTGAGCCTGGCCAGCTCTTCCAGCCCTGGCACACTCTTCCCTCCCTGAGAAGCCCTGCTGAGGCATATTCAGGATCCAGGGCCCCCTCCACCTGCCCCCAGCCCACCCCCTTACTAATACTGACCACCCCTCAAACCCTCCAGTGCCCACAGCAGCACCCCGCAATGTGGCTGTGCATGGTGCCACAGCCACACAGCTGGACGTGACGTGGGAGCCACCCCCCCTGGAGAGCCAGAATGGAGACATCCAGGGCTACAAGGTAAGGGTGCTTGGAGGTGGGGGAAGAAGACCCAGAAGACAGTCAGCAGGGGACTGGCTGGAGTGGGAGTGGCCACAGGTGGCAGCAGAAAGAGGTCACCGGGCGTACGGTGCTCCCTTGGCTGGGCTGTTTGCAGCCCCACCCTCTGGAATACTATGCAGCCCAGCAAAAGCATGCTTCCTCTCCAGTGTGCTCTGGGCATGCTGAGCTCAGATGCAAAACTCCCTCCTTGTGCTGGCTCAGATGTCTCCCAGGACACATATATCCTGCCCAAGCCCACCCACTCAACACCAACATAAGATCCCTCAACATAAGATCCCTCCATGCTAATTACCATATTGATGCTCATAGATAGCCAGATAGTAGCCAGATAGCAGGACTTGGGGATCTCCATTCGGAACATTCTAGATTTCGGATGACATCACGTGTATGACAGGATGCGATTGGTCTCTGACAGTCATAGAACCCTTTGGGGTTCCTCCATCCTGAAAGGCCTTGAGTTGGGTCCTTTGTGTCTGTGTCTAATCACTACAGACATGAAGGGTGTGCAGTGTGGCTTAGGTGAGCTGGCGGGTCACAGAAGTAGCGAGTAGCGGAGAGCCAGGTTCTAGATTTGGGGTCCCCCCTGCAAGGGGTGGGGGCCTGGACTCACAGCCTGGAGAGGAAGTGGTGGGGGGATGTCTCCCCTGTGGGGTGGGGGCCCAGCCCTCGGCCATGCTGGAAGCTTCCTCCTATGCCAGAGATCACACCACATGGCTGTCTGCAGGCAGAAATGGAGTCTCAGCAAGGGTCAAGGGCTTGTATGTGGGCGCCCTGATCTTAGAGTGCAGCGTCGGGGGGCTCATTTTACCTGGGGGGAGGGGGACGAGAGGAGTTAAAGCAGCCCGCCGAGGTGCTCTGGGATGGGCGACAGCCCTGAGCCCTGGCCAGCTGGTGGCCTGCACCCCGCACCCTGCCTGGCCTCCCCGGGAGGGGGAAGGCCCAGCACAGCCGGCAACAGTGTGGCAGCCGTCGAGGGGCAGCAGCCGGTGGCTGGCGGAGACCCGGGACACAGGCAGGTGCAGACACAGGATGACACGCAGACCCTGCGTGCTCCGGAAACGCCCTTCCTGTGTGAGCTGCAAATGGGGACACCGGCCAGGCCCCAGCACTGCTGCCTCCAGGCAGGCGCAATGGTCGGGTGCCCCCGTGACTGTCCAGCCCAGTGGCTCAGGGGACGTCTCCCCCCCGCACCTCAGGAACATGTATTTGTGGGGCAGTTACTTTGTTCCCAGAGGTGTTTGGGGCCCAGAATAAACTAGGGAGCTGAGGGCCCTCCCTGGGGGCGCAGCGGGTTAAAGCACAGCACTGAGAAGCTGAAGCCACTTCCGCACGAGTTCGCTCCCCTGCCCTGGAGGTGACCACAGGGCGCGGCAGACCTCTCCTGACCCGCCCGCTGCTCCCCTCAGCAGTGTACTTCGTCGATCTGCCTGTTCTGTTCCCGCTCTGTCTCTGGTGAAGCCTCTCACCCTCCGCATCTCTGGTCTGTACCCCAGTTCCGTATGAATAAATAATCTTTAAAAACAAACAAAAAACTAGCAGTTTCTTTCCTCTGGCCGCCCATGGCGGTGAGAACACAGGAAGTTTGTTTTTAAAGATTTATTTATTTATTCGTACGGAACTGGGGTACAGGCCAGAGATGTGGAGGGTGAGAGGCTTCACCAGAGACAGTGGGGAGCAGAACAGGCAGATCGACGAAGTACGCTGCTGAGGGGCGCAGCGGGCGGGGCAGGAGAGGTCTGCCGCGCCATGTGGTCACCTCCGGGGCAGGCGGGGATCGAACTCGTGCGGAAGCGGCTTTAGCTGTGTTACAGTGCTGTGCTGTAACCCGCTGCGCCACCAGGGAGGGCCGAAACTGCTGTTTGAAAACGCGCGAGGAAGAGATCGCAGTCACGGTCAGTGCTGGGTTCTCCGCGCCCTCAGCCGGCGTCATCTGTTTCCAAGACGCCTTGTCTTCCTTCTGCCAGGGCGTCCCGTAGTGTCGCCCAGGGTGGGTGCTCGGCACTGTGCACTAGACAGACCCCTCGCCTACGCCTCAGAAACGAAGAGAATGCCAGCGAGAAATTGGTGTTATTTGCACCTGTAACCATCGCTGCACCAGCAGCATCTCCTGGGAGGAAGTCCGCCTGAAGGCAGGTCGGACCCGGGGCCGGCTGCAGCTCACAAGGCTGGGTCAGGGGTCCCCGGTAGCTGCACAAAGCCGGGTTCAGGGGTCCCTGGTAGCTGCGCAAAGCCGGGTTCAGGGGTCGCCGGTAGCTGTGCAAAGCCGGGTTCAGGGGTCCGCGGTAGCTGCGCAAACTGGGTTCCGCGGTCCGCGGCAGCTGCACAAGTGGGGTTCAGGGGTCAACAGTAGCTGCACGAAGCTGGGTTCAGGGGTCCGCGGTAGCTGCGCAAAGCTGGGTTCAGGGGTCCATGCAGAGCATTCAACGTGACCTTTCCCCTGTGCCTCCAAGTCAACAGGACTTGGAGGCCCCGACTTTGCTGTTGGGGCCCTGTCACTGAAGGACCATGAGTCAGTGCCTAAGTGACCCCAGCTCTCCTCCACCCGTGCAGAGACTATTCTTTTTAAAGGGAGGGCTGGAGAAAAGCCAGGATTTCGTGCGAACGAGGTGTCCTAGCGCCACGCACGCATGCCGGGTGGGGACACTTCTATCAGCTCTTCCCTGGCGCTTCCTCCGCAAACCCAGAGACCCCAAGGCAGTGGCCTGCACAAACCCTCGTGGCCAGCAGGTGGCGCCAAATGCCCTGTGAGCCCCTGGGTTGGGCGGGGCCACCCTGGCACCTCAGTGCAAAGTTGTGAAACCTGCAGGGGACCCCTCCCTGACTCCGAGGGTCCCCCTCTTGAAGATGAGGTCATGGCAAGTGCTGCGAAGCATCCGCTGTGCTCCAGCTTTAAACTTCTGTGGCCGTGCAGTGTCTTGTGTCTCTAATCCTTTGCTCCTCAAGTTGGCGGAAGTGGGTGCCCTGGTGTAACCCCACGGACAGCATCTCGGGGAACCCCAGGCCCAGCCTGCCAGCCGCCTTCCCAGCAGCAGGCTTTGCAGCCTGTGGGGCTGGTGACCTGTGGGACCTTGTTACCCTGCAGATGCAGGGCTGGGAGGGCCTGGCAGCCTGCACCCTCTGGGTGTGTGAGGCTCTGGCCCTTGCAGCCTTCTTTGTGGGTGTTCACCCTCTACACTGCACTGGGCCCTGTCTTGGGTTTCCGCAGAACAGAGCTGGCTTGCTCCGCCGGCGCCTGTATTCCGAGGGCTGGTGTGCAGGTGCTGAGCCCCACGGACGCGCAGAGACTGGGTGTCAGTCAAGGAAGGTTCTGGAGGGGCTTCAGCTCTTAACTGCTTCCCTCCCACTTACACCCCAACTGTGGCTCCCACTTACACCCCAACTGTGCGGGAGGAATGCAGGAAGGTGCTGGAGGCCCAGGGCGGGTGGGGGAGGGGCGGGGTCCCCCTCCACACTCCCATCCTCTGCCTGCAGATTTACTTCTGGGAAGCAGAGCGGAGGAACCTCACGGAGCGCCTGAAGACGCTTTTCCTGGCGGAGAACGGGGTGAAGCTCAAGAACCTGACCGGCTACACAGCCTACATGGTCAGCGTGGCCGCTTTCAACGCCGCGGGGGACGGGCCTCGCAGCACCCCCACCCGGGGCCAGACCCAGCAAGCAGGTGGGGGAAGGTTGGGGCAGTGGGACGTCTGGGCTCTGGGGGCAGAGAGGCAGCTGCCCCACCCACCTGCTGAGAGGCCACAGGGCCCCCCCAGGATGGGCGCTACCCACAGGGGCACACTCATGAGTGCCCAGCTCTCCCGGACACCCTTGCCGCGGGCAGCCGGCCTTGCAGGGTCCATCCACATGCCACCAGCTTGTCCGGTCAGTCTTGTTTTTTTTTTTTAAGATTTATTTATTTGTGCACACAGTAACTGGGGTACAGGCCAGAGGTGCAGGGGGTGAGAGGATTCACCAGAGACAGTGGGGAGCAGAACAGGCAGACTGATTGAAATCCACTACTAAGGGGAGCAGGGGGGAGACAGGAGAGGTCTGCTGCGCCCTGGGGGTCCCTCCCTGGCCGGGATCCAACTGCGCTGCAGGGGCTTCACGGTGCTGCGCTTAACCCCTTGCGGGGCCACAAGGGAGGCACAACCCCTGTCGGTCTTTGTCCAGCTTTGTTCATCCCACAAGTATTTGCAGAGGGCCCGGCCTGAGCAGGGCGCTGGGAGTACAACTTCAAGCAAGGCATGCAGGCACCCCAATCCCTGCGCGAGGTCCCAGTGAGTGTGGGGGATGGGAACAGGTGGCCTTGGCCCTTTTCTGGCAGAGGCAACATCCGAGAAGCTGCCGTGGGCAGTCCTGGACCAGGGCTGTTCCGGCCGAGGGTGGAGCAGGTGCAGAGGCCCAGGGGTGGGGGCGGGCAGGGTTACAGGATCAGAGCCCGGGGGGTCAGAGCACTCTGGAGGGTCAGTGGCAGCAGAGACCCGAGCCTGGTGTCCGAGCTTGTCCTGTCGCTGCTGCTTCAGGCCTCCCCGGATCCACCGTCTTCTCTCCCCCTGGAGTTAACAGACCTAGTCCAGTTCCAGCCCCTCAGCACCTTGCCAGCCTGGGGCTTCCGTAGGCAAATTGCCTCTTCCTATAAAAGCGAGGCCCGTGAGCCAGTTCCTAGTATTGTCCCCTGCGGGGACAAGTCTGGCTCCAGGGAAAGCCTTGTCCTCTTCTGGCTCCCGAGGGTCCGCCCGCCCCTTCCCTGGCCACTCTCTCTCAGTGTCATCAGGCGGATGTGCACCCACCGGGAGCCTAGAAGCTTCCGTCCCTGTGGCTGGGGGACAAAGTGTTCTATCCCATGTCCGTCGAGCCCAGGGGAGACAGGAAAGGCCCCCGAGTGCGCCTCCTTCCTTCAGAGATGCTGGCTGGCGCGGCCTGCATCAGCGGAAGCCCGTCTGATTAGCCCCAGCTCCGTGGGGGTGGACTGGACAATGGCCGGTCCCCCGGCCGCCCCTGCCAGCTGGAGATGCTGTCCAGTGGATGCTTCCTCCCCTTCCTCTTGTCCTCCCTTCAAAACACCCCCGCTACGTTTCCAGGGCATCAAAAGGCGTCTCTTCCAGAGAGTTCTATGGTCCTGGATCCTGTTGCTCCCAACAGGGAGATCCGGTGGCCACACGCCCTGGACCTAGGGAGGGATAAAGGCGCTGTGGGCACTTCTGGTGTGTTCTTGGTCAGTGCCCAGCTGATGTCTGGAGGCCAGACACCCTGCTTTCTCCACCAGGGAGGAGGGGGCCCCACAGGACATCGAGGGCCTCACAGGGACCCCAGGAGCCCAACATGGGGCTCCAGGCACTGACTGATGTCCCCTTTAGGGAGAACAAAGTGCTCATTTCTGTGCAGAGCTTCCAGGCTGATAGTGAACAGGGGGGACAAGGGCGGGTGCCCACTGACCCTAGCGACTCCTCCCTCCTGCCCTCTGCTCTCCCTGGGCCTCAAACCCAAATGCCCCTGCTACTTCCAGGGCTTTGAAAGTCCATGAAAAGAGGACCCCAAAGCCTTGGCTGTCTCCCCACAGCGCCCAGTGCCCCTGGCGCCGTCAAGTTCAGCGAGCTGACCACCACCTCCGTGAACGTGTCCTGGGAGGCCCCACAGTTCCCGAATGGCATCCTGGAGGGCTACCGGCTGGTGTATGAGCCCTGCACCCCCGTGGACGGTGAGTGGCAGGTCCCCATCAAGCACGGAAGGAGCGTTCCCAAAGTGAAAGACAGCAAGTCGGGCAAAGATAAGCCGCAACCGAGGTCTCCTCCCTCCAGAGAGGAATTTTTTTTTTTTAAAGATTTTTATTATTTATTCGTATAGAACTAGGGTACAGGCCAGAGATGCGGAGGGTGAGAGGATTCACCAGAGACAGAGTGGGGAGCAGAACAGGCAGATCGACGAAGTACACTGCTGAGGGGAGCAGCGGGCGGGTCAGGAGAGGTCTGCCACGCCATGTGGTCACCTCCGGGGCAGGCGGGAATCGAACTCATGCGGAAGTGGCTTTAGTTTCTCAGTGCTGTGCTTTAACCCGCTGCGCCACCAGGGAGGGCCCAGAGAGGAATTTTAACCAAGTTCCCTCAGCCGCGGAGGCCAGCTGGGAGACAGAGCTGGACGGAGCTTGGCGGGATGGACAGGACTCTGGGATCTATATAATGACTGGAGCCCGATGGTCCTTCCTGTGCGTATCCCCAGGCCTGGGGGAGCTCAACCTTCCACGGGCTGGCCCTTCTTTGACTTTGGTGGGGTCAGGAAACCCTTTGAGTTGTTGTTTTGTTTTGTTTTGTTTTTTTAATTTTTTTTTATTTTTTATTTTTTTAAATTTTTTTTTACTTTGTTTTGTTTTGTTTTTAAGAGTAAGTTTATTAGACAGAGACAGGAGAGGAAAAGACACTTGCATAGGCGCACGTGGGCAGGAAGAGCTGCCCGGAAGGGACAGGTTTGCAGAGAGAAGCGTGCGTGGTTGCAAGCAGGTGGCCTGAGGAGAGCGGCCTCCCCTGAGGGAGGCCAGTGCAGAGAAGCCCTGGCAGGTGCAGGTCACGGGAGGCAGGAGGCTGCTGCCCTGCAGAGGGAGAAAGCAGGTGGAGAGAAGCACCTGCATAGTCACACGTGGGCAGAAGACTCTGCCCCCTTGGGTATTTAATAAGTTGGAGTCTCTCCCTTGAGATGCACAAGTTTGGGGGGTTCACTGCCCCCTATTGCCCTCTGAACCTCGGATCAGAAACTGCTCTGCAGTTTCTCCCTCCTGCCCCCAGCTGGCTCAGTCCACCCTTGCCCTGCCCCTTCCACCAAGCCCTGCCGGGACCTGCCCCACCCCCACCCCCAGGCTGCCCACCCTGACCAGCAGCCCAGACACCTGCCGTCCTCCCAGCCCAGGCAAGGCCAGAACTCGCTCAGAGGAGCCTCAGGTCCAGTTCCAGAACCCTAAGAGGTTAGAGTGTGGTGGGCCCACTGGGCAGGGCCCTGGTGGCCGGAGGGGAGGCCTCTGGGCTCACCCCGCACCCTGTCCTTCCCTACAAGGCGCCCGTTCAAGGGCCGGGCCTGGGAACCGTGTTGGTGGTGGTTCTGGGCCAGCGCGAGAACAATGGCCCTCAGTCTGCGCCACAACCTGTTGCCAGCAGCTTGCTCTGCAGAGCTGTGCCCCAGAACATGCTAGAACACCGAGGGGACCCATGGCCCCGGGAGACCGGGCCCACAAGCAGGAGGGAGAGAGGCAGAGGCTGGAGGGCCAGGCAGGGCCTGACCTCTGGAGGATGTGGGGTGGCCCCCATCATGGTCCAGGAAGACCTGCACGGCGAGTGTCGGGGTGCCGCAGTTACCTCAACTTTAGTAAAAGCCACCCAGGCCGCCCCTCCAGTCACCGTTGTGTGGGCTCTGAGGGACCAGCTCAGGGTGGAGGGGAAGCCGGGAAGCCGCTCATCCAGGGCCGGGCGCCACAGGGTGTCCTGTCTCCTCCAGCTGAGTCTGGGGTGCCTCAGGCCCTCTGGGGGGACAGAGCTCACGTCCGAAGGTGCCCGGGGTCCGCCTACAGGTGTTGGAGGCCCTGGGGGCCGGGGCAGCAGCCAGGCCTTGCGCACTGACCCCACGGCCCTTCCCGAGAAGGGCCCGCAGGCTGTCTGAGGAGCTGCCAGGTGGCCAGGTGCGCCCCAGCCTGATCACCGCCTCCCCACCGCTCCCCCACAGGAGTCAGTAAGATCGTGACGGTGGACGTGAAGGGGAGCAGCCCTCTGTGGCTCAAGGTCAAGGACCTCGCGGAGGGCGTGACCTACCGGTTCCGCATCAGGGCCAAAACCTTCACCTATGGGCCCGAGATCGAAGCCAACGTCACCACGGGCCCCGGGGAAGGTAGGGCGTCGGGGCACCCTCCGTCACACCCTCGGCCCCCAGGTCGGTTCTGCCCCTCACCTGCCCGGCCCCGCCCTTGGCACTTGACCTTAGCAGCTTCCGTGGCAAGAGAGGAAGCAAGCTGGCAGGGGCGGAAGTGAGCGGGCACAGAGGAGGTGACCGGCCCCCCAGGACCTGAGCAGTGAGGGAGGAGGGGTCTGCAGGGTGCCCCGCCAGGCTCCAGCTGGGTGCAGCAGACTCTGGCCAGAGAGGAGAGCTCCCACCCTCCCTCCGCCCCAAGGGCTCCAGTGCAGGATGGGGTCATGCCCAGAGCCCTCCCACTCCTCAAGCCCCCCCACCTGAGCCCCAGGCTGCAGCAGCAGACACTTGGGGGGGGGCAATGGGGCCCGCCAAGGCCACAGGTCAGACCTGCACTCAGGGCCTCCAGGCTGTTAGCGCAGTCCCCAGCTCCCACCCAGCTGCCCTGGGCCCTGGAGAACCCCAGGTGGGTGCTGGATTCTCAGCTCCCTTCCACTAGGCATGAACAGGGACCACCCAGCGCCCCCTGCCGCACCCCACCCACCCCACTCTCTCCCTGCCCCCCGAGCCACATGGGCACACGACCTCCTACTGAGTTCCTGGATCTGGGGTGCAGGGCTGACATCTAGTGGGGGGCAGGCCTGGTGGGTGTCAGCTCACAAGTCCTGGGGTGGTGGGAGCCCAGAGCATGAGCTGCAGCGCACCCCCAGAGACAGCAGCGCTGGTTCACTCCCTACACCGAGCACCCCTCTCCGGCCCTGCTTCTGGGGGAACATAACAGGCTGCCACCCGGCACCCCTGCCCGGAGGGGCCTGTTCTTCGTCTTTGTGGGTCCTTTTAGCAGTGAAGACGCGGCCTCCTCCCTCCTCTCCCAGCCTAACAGCAAAGGCAGCGGGGAGGGGCGTTTCGGGCAGGGAGTGAGGCCTTGGCCCTCATAGACCAGGAGAGATGCGAGGGGCTTCCGCCCCACAAACCACCCCCTCCTATCAGGGGTCCACTCCACCATTGTCACACCCACGCACCCGCCTCCCTTCAAAATGTCATTTCAGCAGGCCTTACAGATGGGGAAACTGAGGCATGGGGTGCATGAATTGATCAGCCACCCGCCCATCCAGTCCTGGGCTGGAGCTCGAAACCCCCTTCTGGCAGCACCCCTGTGCCCTCTCCTGCCCTGGAACTTGGGGTGTGGGTGCAGGTGACAGAGGAGAATGTGGGGTCCCTGTAGGCCTGGCTGGCTGACACAGACCCCTAGGCCTCCGCCACGCGGGGTCCCCGGGACTCTGGCCGGTCTTGGGCGTGTGGCCCACCCCTCCTGGAGCGCAGGGGTCTGCGGGCGCGTGTCCACCAGGTGCTGCTTGCAGGTGCCCCGGGCCCACCTGGAGTGCCCATCATCGTGAGATACAGCTCCGCCATCGCCATCCACTGGTCCAGCGGAGACCCCGGGCAAGGGCCCATCACCCGCTACGTCATCGAGGCCCGGCCTTCAGGTACGCCACGCGGGCGAGCGCCACGGCCCACTCCCGCCCCCTGCCCATGCCCTGCGCCGTGGGCATCAGCCGAGACGGACCTGCAGGAGAGGCGAGAGGCGGGGTGTCGTGGGCAGGGACAGGAAGCTGCTGGTGGTGTTCCCCGAGAAGGACAGAAGGACGCTTAGCACCAGCTGGGCCAGCCACCTGGGGAGGGAGGGAGGGGGCTTCAGGGGGCCCACGCTGCCCCTTTAAGGCTGCCTCTGCCAGGCGCCTGTCCCGCAGTCCCTGTAATCTTACCAACCACTCCTGTGAAGCCTGAAATCGAAACACAAGAATGTCCAAAGCCGCCAGGAGATGAGCGGCTGATAGGGCGGGGGGGGGGGTTGGTTTGGAGGTGCGGGGGGTGCCGTCCACCTCCTGTTTCAGCCGCCAGGACATCTGCTCCTCCGGCTCCCTTACACCACCACCGTTGCCGGGTTCCTGAGCTGATGATCAGAAGCCCCAGCGTCAGCTAAGCGCACAGGCCGGGTCTTGGATTCCGGGGATCTGGGATTAGGCCACTGAAGTGGGGAAAAGGCTTTGTTACGCCACCCAAACAGCAAGCAGAGCGGGACTCGGTCAGGGATTGCCCCTCGTTCAGACCTCGGTAGCTGAGCGCTAATCATCCCCATGGAAAATAATTAATAATTCCAGTGGTTCCGGGAAACCACCACCACCCCATCGCTGCTCTCACCTCATTTAATCACTGCTGTCACAGACAGCAACACCCAGCAGCTCAGACCCAGTGTGCGTCCGGGAGGGGAACGGGGGGCTGGGAGGGGAACGGGAGGCGGCTCTCTCCCTGCTCCAGATGGTCCTCCCCAGGCCTCCGGCACCGGCTGCCGAGTTGGCCAGGAAACCAGGGCCCGGCCTGTTTATTCGACCCGAGCTGGCCGCCCAGGGTGCCAGGCTGTGGAATGTTGGCTCAGCACTGTGGCCCTGTTGAACTTCCAGCGTCCCCGGGGGGCCCCCGTGGGACCTGCCGCTCCAGGTGCAGGGTTGTGACCTGGTCCACGCAGGTGGCATCAGGGACTGAGCATAAGCTGGAGGGCGCCAGGACCTGCCCGCACCCCCGAGGTCAGGCCAGTGCCTGAGAGCTTGTGACAGGGACAGGGGACAGACGGTGATGAGGAAAGGCTGCGGGAGAGGGGAGCCCCGCGTCTCTGGCCATGTGAGAGCGTCTCTTACAGGGTGGCGGCCCCCACGGGTGAATTGCTCTGGCCATACGTGTGGCCCTGCAGGCAGACTCAAGCACACACGCCTGCTTTCTCCGGGGGGTTTGGGGCGGGGGTTGCGGGTTGGGGGGCGGGAGTCCCTGCAGAGTCCCCAGAACCTTGCCCCCTATCCGCTGACTCCAGCAGCAGCCCGGAGGCCGCACAGGCACCTGAGCTCAGTCCTCAAGTCCCTTCTGGTCCTCATGAGAAGGGGCCTGAGCAGGACCTGGTGCCTTGACACTTGGGGTCAAACCTGCCCGCCTCCGGCCCCAGCAGGAAGACTCACCCCCTTCACGGGCCAGGCGGTCCCACTTGCTCTATAAAGGCCCCGTCAGCTCCTTGTCACGTAGGGGTCGCCTCCACACACAGCATCCCCTCTGAGTGAGGTGAAACCCTGTTCTGTCCCACGGGCAGACCCAGAGCCGCAGACCAAGGCGGACGGGCCCGAGGGCAGTGCAGACGCCCCAAGGAAGCAGGGCTAGAGAGTGGACGTGGGTCGGCCTTCCCTGGGCCTCCTCCGCAGCTCTGCTCCTGAGCAAGGAGGGCGCAAAGGATGCCCCCTTCAAATCCAAGCCGCACGGCCCAGTGTTCTCAGGCACCCCCAACCTTCGTGCGCCTGTTATTTAAAAACAAAATACCCTCTTCCTTGCGTCTCATATATGTGTTTGACTAAGAGAAGGGTCGGGAAGCCAGGCGCCTGGGAAGCAGAAGGGGACATGGGAATGGCACAGAATAGTGAAGCCACCTCCGTCCCAACGGCCAGCACCTTCTAGTACCATGGACAGGGACTGAGCGCTCTGTCCATCTGCGCGCTAAGAGGGGCTTTCGCTGGAGAGTGGTATCACGATGTGGCTACAGTACTTCCTGCATGTTACACATTTGATTATGTCTTACAGTTGCTTTAACAAAAAGAAAACGGTCAAAAAACCACTTTAAAACACACACACACACCCCCATGAGGACCAACTGAGTGCCAGGCACTGGAGATGGATATTGACAAGGCGAGCTGATGGCTGCTCTCAGGGAGCCAGTTAGGGTCTGAATGGGGGCCCCTCACGGGCATCTCCCCCTCTGCACTCTTGCAGATGAGGGGCTGTGGGACGTCCTCATCAAAGACATCCCCAAGGAGGTGACCTCCTACACGTTCAGCATGGACATCCTGAAGCCAGGCGTGAGCTACGACTTCCGGGTCATCGCGGTCAACGACTATGGCTTTGGTGCCCCCAGCAGCCCCTCCCAGTCTGTGCCAGGTACTGTGGGGTGGGTGGGATGAGAAGGAGGAGGGCGCCAGGTGCCAGCCACTGTGGTCTCCCAGGCAGTGGGCCTGAGACAGCTTCCAGCACTGGAAGGCACCAGGGCCTTGGTTCTGTAGGCTCCTCCCTAAGGACTCCTGGACGGAAGGCCGATGAGCTTGTGCCTGAACACTTGGGCTCATGATAAGAGCTTCTGCGAGCCCATCACCCAAGAGATTTGAGGGTACCGGGCCACAAGCTGCATGTTTCCAGAGAAACTGCCCCCTAAGCAGGCCTGGGGCATCAGAATAAATAGTGCTAGCTGGCAGGTCCCCTCCAGTCCCCTCTTTGTGCCCATCACATCTCATAGAGACCCCAGACACCAAAACCCATGACCCCAAATCTATTCACTAACCACTTCTAATACCAAGACCCCACCCTCAAGCTAGCAACATAACTAACACTTCCCCTTATCAGATGAGCTTCAGAAGCCATCCTCTGCCCTTTGGCACCAAATGGTGGCCGAAGAATGGCCTCAAGACAGAATTAGATGGGCCAGCCCTCTCCAGGCAGCAGCCTGATCCCCACTAGCTGGGGGCTTTGCAAGAAGGGGCACCCTATTTGAGGCAGCATTAAAGACCCGCTCATGTCCAATCCCTTGGGGCCCCCCTTTCTGCTACCAGAAAGATTCAGTCCCACTCGAACTTGGTAGCAACTTTGTCCAGGTTCCTTTCCAATCCAAATGTGGGCCTACATGTTCAGGAGGCAGTGAATGGGAAGGAATTAACGAAAGTCAGCAAGCACACTGCCTTTCCTCCTGCTGTGTCTTTGGCAGACATCACTGATCGATCCCAGAGCTGTTTCCCCGTGAGCTTCCTCAGAACTCTTTCCCAGAAACTACCCCAGAACTTTTCCCAGCAGTGCTCCCAGGAGCCACTGATCAGAGCTCCCACTTCAGATGAAACTGTCCCTGCTGACTTGGTCACAAAATCTACCTGTTTGAAAGGACACCACCCACCTACCCTACGTGGTGCCAGAGGCTGTAGGGCCCCAGCTGCTGCAGGCTTGAAGGCGGGCGGGCCTGGGCTCCCCAGATCTGACACCCCTGTCCATGCTCCAGCCCAGAAAGCCAACCCGTTCTATGAGGAGTGGTGGTTCTTGGTGGTCATTGCCTTGGTTGGCCTCATCTTCATCCTGCTTCTGGTCTTTGTACTCGTCATTCGAGGCCAGAGCAAGAAGTACGCCAAGAAGACGGACTCGGGTGAGCTGTCATCCAGCCCCGCGAGCTGGGGGCCGTGGAGTCTGCCTTCCTGTGGCCGGGACAGGGTGGGGGGTCTCTCCCTGCTGCGGTGGTGGTCCGGCCTGGGGCTACCGCGCACAGCCTCCATCTCCCGGTGTGGCTTCAAAGAGGGGGTGGCCCAGCTGTGGGAAAGATGAAGCCGGGGGAGGGGAGGCCCCCAGGGTAAAGGATGGCGTGAGTGATGAGCCTCAGTGTCCCTCCCAGGCAACAGTGCTAAGTCCGGTGCCCTGGGCCACGGGGAGATGATGAGCTTGGACGAGAGCAGCTTTCCCGCGCTGGAACTCAACAACCGACGGCTTTCGGTCAAGAACTCCTTCTGCCGAAAGAACGGGCTGTACACCAGGTAGTGGCAAGGGCGGAGGCCGGGGCGGGAGGGGCGCGCGGCCCTGGCCAGGCTCCAGACTCGGCCTCGGCCTGTCCTGAAAGGCCACTCAAGCTCAGGCCGGGCATGGTCAGCAGAGGACGCAGCAGGACACGGCAGCGCCACCCGCAGCCTGGGGCCACCCCCGGGCCTGCGCACACGGGCCCGGCCGTGGGGAGAAAGGGTCTGAGGCAGGGAAGGGAATCACTGCACGATCTCGCAAAGCCGCCTACCGGTGCTCGGAGCCCGCTGCTCCGGCAACGAGCCTGCACCCAGGCTAGACTCACACCCCACGGAGGGGGCGCCCGCCCAAGGGTGGGCACGCGCACCGAATGCGAGGTACCGGGGGTCCCCCGTGACGCTCCCAATTCCGAAGGTCACCCTGAGGGTCACCCGCCCCAGCCCTCTGCTCTTTAGGCTTGCCAGAGCTGCAGAGCGGCTTCCTCCCAGCCCCCCGCCGCGCTCAGCTTCCACAGAGACCAGCCAGCGTGTCCGCAGCCACGCAAGGCTGAAGCGGGCCCCTCTCCCCACGCCTCCCCAACCGCGGGCCCCTGAGTTCTCACTCCCTGTGGCCACAGGACTGCCTGTTTCCAAGGGCAGGCTCAGCTGACTTGAACTGGTGGCTTGTGCTCCCGGGAGCTCAGGAGAGATTGGGGTGTTGTGACCCAGGGGCTCCCATTTCTGGCCTCAGCCTATTAACATTCCAGGCTATCAGAGGTGCCGCGGTGGGGGTTGGGCGGCCTCTCCCGGAGCAGCTCACAAAGCTGCTCTGTGTCCTGCAGGGAAGAGGCCGTGTGTTCCTCAGGAGCAGGGGGAGGCGGCAGGGCCCGGCTCTCATCCCCCGCCAAATCCAGCTTCCAAAGGAAGGGCCATTTGAGGCCAGGGCTCGGGCCCAGCATGCCCGGCACGGCCACCGCGGCCCGCCAGGCTGGCTCCGGCCCCTGCCACATGGAACAAGGGGGTGTTTCAGGCCGCCTGGGCCTCCCGGGCCTCTCGCACCCACAGTGTACACACCCGGCCCCCGTGTGTCCCTGCAGACGGCAGCACAGAACTCCCGCCTGCGCCCGAAAAGCCCCAGCCCGCCCCGCTACACCCCACACTTACCCTGCATGTCACCAAGACAGCATCACCCTAGGTGAACCCCACTTCCCCCCTTGGGCTGTATGCTTGCTGGTCTTGTCCTCAAGAAGCCCCTGCTGGGACCGTAGTTGTTTATTTTCAAGTGTTTAAAGAAGTTTTGTTGGTGGGAATGAAACTAGATACAAGAAGAGGTTGGAGGGGAAGGGACTCGGGGGTGCGGAGCGGGTGCTGGTGCCCTGTTCCCAGGCCCCTGGATTGTTCTCAGAGCTGCTGCACCCCCATGCGGGCCAGCCAGCGCTCAGAACCGGCGTTCCGGCACCCGGGGGCAGGCTGGACAGATGTCAGAACATCAGGCCCTGGCCAGTATCCCCTGCACCCCATCCCGAGGTGACGCAAACAGGCAGAGTGTTCGAGGACCCCAGTCATGGGCCAGCGCCCCCGGGGGCCCTGCCCACTGCCCCGTCCCCTCTGGTGCTCAGTGCCCTGGCCCCGCCTCTGGCGGGCCCATCAGCAGGCCCTGCGGCTCCCACTCCCAGGGGGGCTGACTCACCGCAGGCCTCTAACACCCGCGTGGGGAAACAGCTTTCTCTGGGGCGCAGGTGGGCGTGAGAGAGCGGGAGGGGTGGTCGCTGCCAGCCCCCCCTTGCACTGACCCTCTGAAGCGCCCTCTGTGCGTGGGAGGGCCGCAGGCGGCTCGGCTGCGGTCAGCGCGGCCTCCCCTGAGGCTGACTCCACGGGCTCAGGGACCTTCGGTTGTGTCCTGCCAGTGTGCGCACGGGCCCTGGCCTGTGACGAGCAGGAAAGAGCCTCCGCCGTGGCCGCCGGCGTAAGGGACTTCTCTGGGCGACGCGGCCCTCAGCCTCTCCCCTGCCCCCCCGCAGGTCTCCCCCGAGGCCCAGTCCGGGCAGCCTCCACTACTCCGACGAGGATGTCACCAAGTACAACGACCTCATCCCCGCAGAGAGCAGCAGCCTGACCGAGAAGCCCTCGGAGGTGTCCGACTCGCAGGTGAGGGCTCGGGAGCGGACACCCCAGGGGCTGGGCGCGCCTTCCCAGGGCAGCTGGGCAGTCTGCGGCCCACCACAGGAGCCGTCCTTAAGGGGACGGGAAATCTCAGGGGCCCCAGGCCGTGCTCCAGAAGTCCCACGTGGGCCAGCTGCCCCCTCCCAAGCTCTGCTCTGCATTTGCACCCACCACTCATAGGGCCCCTGGCACTTGGCCAGAGACCCCCGAGGTCACGGTCTGCTGGAGGCACCCTGCTGTCACCCACTCAGGGAAGGAGCTCAAAGGACAGCTGGGGAGGGTGAGAGAGCAGCTGGGCTTTGCAGGCCCCGAGAGCCGCTAGCCTTAGGGTTAGAGGTCGGGGGCAGGGGCTCCAGAAACAGGGCTGGGTGCCCCAGAGCTGCAAGGGTGGGGAGCAGTGGGGAGCGTTAATCTTTGGAGGTTGGACCCCGAGGCTGGATTAGGTTCTGCTCCATCCGAGCTGGGGCGTCCTGGGCGTGGGTGGTCGCCTCTTCAAGCCTTAGTTTCTCCACCTGAACAATGGGCAGGAACGATAAGGGGCAGATTCTCCAAGGGCTGGCACCGGGCTGGCACTCAGCGCTCACACATGGAGGTGCCTCTGGGAGTCTCGGACACAGTGGCCAGCGAGGACTGTCCTGGGCTGCGGGGAGAGGGGATGAGCGCACCCCAGCGGCGTGAGGGGCCAGCCTCCGCCCAGGCCTCAGCCTTGGCCAAGCCTGTGTTTGTGAGCAGGGCTGCGAAAGGCCACTGTGTCCCACGCCCTGGACCTTTCTGCCTGACTGGGGGAGAGGACGCAGGCGAGAGGCACCAGCAGGGACAGAGCTTTGGGCTGGTGGCCAGCCCAGGGCCAGCCCCTCGCTGCTGTTTTGTTCATCCCCGATGGACTTGGCAGAAGCCGAGAGGCGAGAGCGAAGGCCCCAGCCAGAGCTGGCAGGGACCGAGACCCCGGCTAAGCCCGGCTCACACGGGGACTCATGTGATGCGGGTCAGGACTTCTGTTAGGAGCGTTTCACCCTCGCAGCCTCCCCAGAGCAGGAATGTTCATTCTTTCTCCCCGGCGAGGGTAATGGCCACTTAGACCCTAGCCGCACGATGTCCACCGAGAGAGCGGAGGAGGTGGCCACAGAAGGCGCTCTGTGCCCACAGCCCTGCTCCCTGCTGGTTCTTCATCCTCTCCCAGAATCCGCTGGACAGGTCCAGGGCATGGCATGCGCCGGGATGCTCACCCGCCGCCCTGGCCTTCAGCATGGACACTATGCACCCTTCAGGGGTCAGTCCTCAGCCGAGGGCAGAAGGAAGCGCCGGGATGGCCCAGAGGCCTGGTTGGCCACCCCTGCCTCTGGAGAGCCCCCTCACGGGCACGGAGGCAGGCCAGAGGACAGAGTGGCCAGCCCCCACTGCCCTCGCCACCGTGCCTGGGCTGGGGTGTCTGGGGCGAGAGCCCGAGAGTTTCCGCTGCTCCTGCCCGGCTGGCCGTCTCGGGCCCTCTCTCCCTGCATGTCCACAGCCACACGGGCTGGCCTGGAGCTTCAGCTGCCCTCCTTTGAGGCGGCCTCCCCCAGGCCCTCTGCGAGTGCGTTTTGCCTGTGACTTCTGGCTCATATGCTAAGCCAGACCACCCCAAACTCACTCTCCGAGAGCGGCGGGAGTCCGCTGGCCGTCTCCCGAGACATGGCGATAAATTCGGAGCCTGCGTTGCTCGTAAACAAACATACAGCTGTGGGGCGCTGGGGGACGGGGCTGCTGTGCCCAGGGAGCTCAGGGTGAAGGTGGGAGCTGCACCTCAGCTCCGGGGTGCCGGTGGAAGGGGGTTCCAGGCAGAGAAACCCAGACACGGAGGTGGAAGGCCTGTGGCTTGTCTGATGGTGCTGCTGGAAACGGAGTCTGGCTGCCTCCAGCCCCGTCTTCAAAATAAGGGCCTGTGCGCGGCAGAAAAATGGCTTCATGAGCACGAGGCCCTCGGGGACAAGCCCGCCCTGCTGGAAGTGCTCTGCCTCTCCTGGGGCAGCTCGTTGTAATGGGCCTAAGCGACGTGTCCAGTGACAGGTAGAAGAGGGGCGGCTCGGCGGCCCCGAGTTTCCAGGCCCCTCATCGGCACCCTGCACTCTTGAGGGGCCCTCGGAGCAGGCACGGCTCCCCACCTGGGCAGAGAGTGCTCCCCCTTCCTGGCAGAGGCCGGGGAGGCGAAGACAGGCGGTCAGCTCTGGCCCCAGCAGGCCTCCGGGGCCCCCCACACAGGCTGGACCCTGGGGGCCCGGGTTGACGCTCCGTGGAGACCATTTACTCTGTGAGATGTGCTCGCCCCGGCGCCGTCTCGGGCCCAGCGCGTGGGTCCTGCCAGCTGCAGGCTGCACTGTGCCTGCTGCCCGGGGGCCTGTGCTGACCTAGAGAGCCCCCCGCATCTGAACAGACACGTCTTTTTTTTACTACTCATGAAAATATCAGCACCAGTGACTGATTTTGTTACAGGGCAGGGAGAGGGGTACTCCTGAACCCCCAAACCTGCCTGTTCTAAATAGGTTCTGCCCTCTGCCCCATCAGGACAAAACATGTAAGACTTAATGGAAAGGAACTTTAACACAGTGAGTATACAACACAGAAGACAAACACTATAATGTCTAAATCAAACACACAAAGTGACCCGTCCCCTTGTGGGCAAAAGCCCACCTAAAAGGGGTTGGCCCAGGGCAAGGCCCGAAAGTGGCCACGAGCCTAAAGCACGCTCTGGCCAGGATCTGCGGGAAAGGGTCAGACAGGGCCAGACAAGTCTGGGAGGAAAAGAGCAACGTCAAAGTCAAGATAAACGCTGCCATGGTCACCTCCCGCGGTCTCTCGCCCGCATCGCTTTGAACCAGTCCCGAGCCAGAAGCAAGCATGGCTTCTTCACATGTCTCTGCCCACGTGGCTCCCTCAGGGCTCCCTCTGGCTCTCCATCCTGCTTCCTGCTTCCTCACAGTCCTTCTCTCTCCTTTTCTCTGCTCAGCTCCACCCTCCTTCGGGGTGGGGCAAGGGACCTGGAACTTCCCCTTTTCCTGCCCCCCTCCCCGCCCCTCTGTTCCCTGGGGTGAGCCCCAGAGACCAGGAGCCTCCTGGAGGACAACCTGGAGGAAGCGGCATCCCAGCTAGGCCAGAAAGGGTGAACATGGCTGGGCCCCGCACGGAGGGAGCGGTGCTGGAGGGTGGTGTGGCTGACCTCACCCCCGCCGAGGGTCGCCTTTGTCCGAGCTGCCCCTCGGCAGGTTGGGCTCAGCTGGGCCCTGTCACCCAGGTTTTTAGCCTGGCACTTGCAGGTCCCAGAACCCCACAAACTAGAACCAGGGGCTGTGGCCGCTGGGATCAGAGGTGGGGGTGCAGGGGTTTTCCTCACTGGATGCCTCCCCCTCCCACCCCGGAGGAATTTCATCAGGCTCTGATCCCTCGTTTTATATCTAGACGTCTTCCAGGAAAGTTCTTCGAAAAGCGTGAGGTCAGACGCCGAGTCGGAGAACACCTTGCCCTTGCAGGAGAGGGGGCTGCCTGCTGGCAGGGCAGCCTGGCTCAGGGGTCTCCCTGAGGCCAGGTATCTCCTGGCCCAGCCCTTGGAGGTGCCTAGCCCTGCGCTTCACACCTTCTGGCTATGCCGGGAGGGGCCTTCAGTAGCTGGGGAAATGGGCTCAGAGCAGACCAGCAGCGTGACCAAGGGGCCCAGGACAGGCAGTGGGGTTCAGATGTAGGCCCTGCTGACCGTGGGGTCGTGGCAGCCTGGCCCGCCCGGCTCCCTGGCGCAGAGGGCAGCTGGAAGAGAGGCCTTCCTGCCCCCGACCCACCGCCCACCCAGTGACCTCAGGGAGACCCCTAAGCCAGGCTGCCCTGCCAGCAGGCAGCCCCCTCTCCTGCAAGGGCAAGGTGTTCTCGCGACTCGGTGTCTGACCTCACGCTTTTCGAAGAACTTTCCTGGGAGACGTCTAGATATAAAACGAGGGATCAGAGCCTGATGAAATTCCTCCGGGGTGGGAGGGGGAGGCATTCAGTGAGGAAAACCCCTGCACCCCCACCTCTGATCCCAGCGGGAATCACAGCCCCCGCGGGAGAAGCCACAGGGGCTTTGGTTCAAAGGGAGGGCCTGACCGTGCCCAGCGGGGCTGCGGGGAGCCAGGGGTCACAGCTAGGGGCTCAGCTTCATGCCCAGAGGAGTTGCACAGGGTACCCCTCTGTCCCCCGGGGCAGGGCGTCCCTGCAGACTTCAGGTGACTCAACCAGAAGGGTCACCCTGGCCAGCCGGGGGTCTCAGCACGGCCCAGCCTAGGCCGCACCGGCCCCATCTCCGCTGAGTTGGGAGCAAAGGTCCCGGGAGACAGGGACAGGACAGCGAGAGGCAAGGCTTTCCTTTGCCCCTCTCTTTTGTTTCTCTCCTTGGGGTGCCCCTCCTGCCAGCCCTCCCTGTGGCATCAGTAGGCCTGGAGTCGGGGCTCCCACCCCAGCCCGGAATGGCTGATGGAGTGACTGACTGAGAGGGGCCGAGGGCGGAGCTCAGCAGCCTGAAAGCCCCATTGTGTGGCCTCGCTGGGAAGCTGCGTTCATTTACCAGGGCCAAGGGAGAGCTGAAAGCCGGAATGGGGCCCCTACCCCCTCGCTTGCTTTGGTCTCTTCTCACCCCACCCCCATGCAAAAAAGAAACAGATGTTCCGGGAGGAGGTGGAGGCCTGCGTGCGCCCAGTCGCTGATGCAGGCACCCCCAGCTCTGGCCTTGGAGGGCTGAGGGGGAGCGGACCCCCCCTCCCCTCCCCCCTCCCCTCCTCAGAGCCACTCCTTCTGGCTCCCAGCCTTCCCTTCCCTCCCCCAACTCTGCCCCACAGGGAGTTGGCACACAGTAGGTGCTCAGCAGATGGGAGCCTCATCAATGAGCTTTGAGGTCTGCGTCCCCATGAGTCCCGGAGGGCCCCATTACTCTGCCAAGCAGGCCGGGGTTGGGGGTGGAGGGTGTCACAGTCGCCCAGCCTAACTCCCATCCTTTCCCTGCCCCCAGTGCTGAGTGGGCCTCCCCCACCCCTGCTCCTGCTCCTTCTGACCTGGGGGAGCATCAAGGCTCCCCTCGCCCAGGGGCATCTTTACCTTGCAGGCGGCAGACCAGGATGTTGAGGCTCAGGGAGGCTAAGGGGTGGGCCCAGACTTCTACTGGTTAGCAACTGAGTCAGACCCAGACCTGCAGTCACCCCCTGCGGGGGGGACTCCCTTGCTGGGGGCTGGCCCCACCGTGATGGGATTCCACCCAGGCCTGGGGCCCAGTGAAGTTCTGGAACCCCTAGTGAGGATGCTAACAGCTGAGCAGGTTCAAGGGTGCCCACCCAGAGAGGTCTAACCTGGAGAGGAAGTTGGGGTGCCCCTCTCAGCCCCACACTGTTCTGGGACCAGAGGTCCCCCGGCCTGCTGCTTCCGGACTCCCCCCCAGGGGCCTCAGACGCCCCCTGCCTCTGGCCAGCTTGCCGCAGTCCCCACCCCTGTGTCGGTGCCCGCCGGCCCCGCCTGCGCCTGCCATAGGGAGCCCCGCCTGCGCCTGCCATAGGGAGCCCCCCGCCTCTCAGCCCTTTGTTCCCACCCTCCGGCCGGCAGCTGGGCCGCAGCAAAGACAGGAGCTGTGTTGTGCCGCCTTGCGTCAGGGGGAGGCCAGCGAGGGACTTTCCATTGTCTGGGCAGCCAGTCCTGCCTGCCAAGAGCCTGAGGTCCTGGGGTGTCTGCTGGGGGTGGTGCTGAGGAGAGGCCTGGCCTGGGGACAGGGAGGGCAGAGACTTAAAGCTGCTGTTGGTTGGGGAGCACCGAGTCCCGCTCGCGGCGCGGCCTCCGGCCTGCGTAAGAGCGCCTGGGCCTGGGAAGTCAGCAGCTCTGACCTCAAGCAGCTCTGACCTCGAGCGAGCCATCCTTTCCTTGGGCAGACCCCTCCCAGCTCCGCCCTCGGCTCTCATCAGCAGGCCGGTGGCGTCCGCGAGCAGAGTGTGAGTTACACAGTCACACGCCGGCCAAGCAGGGTCCCCGAGGCAGGGCCTGCGAGCTGCACTTCACTGAGTTCACGGGAAACACAAGTGTCCCTTCCAGAGCCTTCTAAGGGCGCCCATCTGTTGTCTTACTAGTTCTGAAAACCCGGCAAGAGCCAGGGTGGGGGAGGAGTGCCTGATATTTTTAGGCGCGCTTAGCCATGCCTGTTTCTGGGGGCTAAACCTCCTGCTCGTGGGGGCTCCTGTCTGTCTGGGCCTGATTTCTCCCTCGGCGGCTGACCTAGGGGGCCAGGACCCCAACGTGCCAACAGCCTTAAGATCTTTCTAATAGCTGAACGCGCCAGGGCCGTCGGCGTCAAGGTGGGGAGCGTGTGAGCACGCACGCCACGGGCTT